ATTTAAACCTAGATTCGAAACCCTAGCTTCCATTTGAGCATTTTTTGAGGTTTTGGTGTGCCTTGGAGAAAAAAGGAATTCTTGTTGGAAACATTGCTTGGCTTGGAGCTTGTGGATCCAAGCCCTTATAATCTTCATCAACTTCTAGGAGGTATAAAGTTTCTAAATTGATGACTGTATGTGTTAGATCTAGTCTAGAGTATGTTTTGGGTTTATTTTGGTCCTTAAAGTCATCTTTGTGAGTATAAGCTACTCCAAGAGTTTAGAATGTTGGATCTTAGCACTTCTGAGGTTGTGGGTGCATAAAAATGTCATTTTGATGGGTTTAGGAGGAGTCATGATTAAGTTGGTGTTCATATTATGGGTTTAGAAGGATAAAAATGGATTTTGGGTCCTATTAAGGCATGCGAGGGAGTAAAGTTGGCAACTTTATTGTTTACGACCTTATCTAGGGATCATATATGTGTTTGGCCCAATTGACTTAACTTAATAAGAAATTAATATGGACTTTTGGCCTCTGATGAGTATGTTAGGCGTACATAGGAGTATGCTCATTGTAATATCGGTTTCATGCATCAGTGTCTTGTACTTTGTGCTTCGACAGTCGGTATGCAAGGCGTACTTTCCTGGTACGCAGGGTGTACTCCCGGGATGTTTATTTTGGGCCTTTTTAGATTTGGGCATTATTGGGTCATTGGACTTCTGATTTTATGCCATGGTTAGTATATGGGATTTCTTGGAATTGGGTCATTGGACTTCTGATTTTTAGGCCATGGTTAGTTATGAATTTTTAACGGATTATCCTGTCCCGGTCTGTTAAAAATAATAATATTAAAAATAAAGTCAAAATTAGCCGAAGAAGTCTAAACGAAAGTTATAGAATATATTCCCGCCTACGCGTGGATATAAAGAACGTCAAAAACGGAGCTCGTATGCGAAAGTTATAGATTTTAGAAGTTTGGGACACAAAAATCGAGAAAAATGCTAAAACCGAGGAATTTCGCATGGCTTTGGTTCGGCCACGTCACCCTCGCAGAAGCCGCCTCGTGTCCGACGTCGTGACTCATCCAAGCAGCTTAGTCACCAATGCGCTGTGCAGCCTAGAGTCCGACGCGTCGCCTGTCCGAAGCCGGTCCACTCGCGAAGCGACGCGTGTCGCACTGCTGTCCGAACCTCGCATGAGCCGCGTGGCCTTCGCATCTGCTGCCGCGTGTCTTCGCTGCTGATGCACCTGCCTGCTAGCTTCGGATCCTCCCTATAAAAGGGAGGGCTGCGAGATTTTTCGACCAATTTTGCAAAATTGCCATTTTTGGCCCCTTTCTTCATATTTTTACTATTTTGGCTTCCCCCGAAGCCCCGATATTATTTTTAAAGCCCGGAATACGTCCCGAAGTGCCCGGAGAGCCCGAGAAATTATTCTTTTCGGTTTGAAGCTCTACTCTCGCAAGGCTTATTTTTCAATACATTTCCCGGTTTTCAACGACGAAAGCTATTTATAAAGCCGATGTGCTGCTCAAATTACTATTTTAACCCCCGAATATTATTAAGGTGAGTTCAATATATAGGAACAATTGTATGTTATGTGTTATATGTATTATATGCTTTCCCGTGCTATTTTATTCGCTATTTTAATAGCATGTTATTATTCAGAGTTTCTTTCTCGTGATATTAGTTTGCTATTTTGATAGTATAACTATACCTCTAAACTTGTGATCAGTGGAAGGACTTAGATTCACAAAGGTATTGGTATGTTGATATTCCGAGTTATTATCCCGAGTTGCTATGTTTTCCGCTATTTTGATAGCAAAGCTATACCTTTGGCCATGTGATCAGTTTATGAACTCAGATTCACAGTGGCATTGGTATGTAGCCTCTGGCCATGTAGAGCATGTCCCCCAAGTAAGTGAATGACTCTATTCTATGGCATTGGCAGAAGGTTGTCAGGGCGTGAATACCTGAAATAATTCCTTAATGTAAGTTCATTGCTTGTAAGATTTCTGGTATCGGCTTCGTGCCTTTGGCCATGTAAAGCATGACATGTATCTCCCGGTATTGATAAAGGGTTTTGTAGAGCTTGTCTCTCATCGGTAATATGTCTCTGGCTATGTAGAGCATGTCTCGCATATAGAGCATGAATCGTATCACTTTTGGTATTGACATAAGGCTAGGTAGGGCTAAAAGCCTGTATATGCTAGCAAAATGGTATTCACAAATCGTTATGTTTTCTGTGCCATTTGGGCCAAGGTTTTATTGATGTATATCAAGAATTGTAAAGTATATCCTTGAATTAAGTCTTGGATTGATATGAACGTTTGTTATATGATACACATATGCTAATGTTGTTATCATTTCTCTTTGCCTCTGTCATATTGATATATATTTGGCATAAGATTATATTGTTTCTATTATTGAAGTCACTAAGCGTTATCGCTTATTCCTCGCAAATGTTTAACAAATTGCAGGTTATATGCATTCAGTATAGCTTATAGAGCTGAAAGATTTAGAATAGTTAATACTATTTCTTTGTATTTATTATTCATGTATGTATATGAATAGAAGATTCCTGGGTAGTTATGTATTGTAATAGAACATAGTCGGTTTGTATCCAATCTTTTGTAATCACTCTTATCAATATAAAACATTGTTTTATGAATATGCATGTAACATGTTTTGATGAAGTAACTTAGATTATTATTGGAATATTATGAAAGTACCGAGTTAGGGTCTTTCAGTTTGTCTGTTGACTAGCTATATGTTCATCTGTTATGTATATGTCGACATGTTACGTTTGGTTTGGTTGAGGCGGTCCTGTTTTGTGCTGAAGGCCAAGATACCCCGAGCGGTCCGGATAGACTGTAGGCCTTGCGAGGCGGCCCAATCAGGCCGATGGCTCGGAGAGCGGTCCGGATAGACTGTAGGCCCTGCGAGGCGGTCCAGTCTTGCCAACGGCTCTGAGAGCGGTCCAGATAGGTTGTAGGCCCTGCGAGGCAGTCCGGTTAAGTTGAAGGCTCATTTATGCATGCTGTTGTTTGTTATGATTATGTAGTGGTACTTTGGGGGAACTCGGAAAGCTTTGGCTTACGGTTTTAGTTTATTGTTTCAGGTAATTCTGATAATCGCGGGAAGGCGAAGGCGTGACTGTAAACATCCTCTGTTTATGGCTTTATGATTTTGGGATACTCTGATATTGATAAACAATTTGGAAACAATGATTTTGTAAACATTTCTGATTCTGGGTTGTTTTAAAAAGTTTAAATTTGAATTCTGCGATGTTACAACTTGAACATTCCTTTGTCACGTTGTGAGCACCAAAAGACACAACAGATGCAGGCTCTTTTCATGGTCACGTCGTGACGCCCTTAGTATCACGTCGTGACTATAGTCTAAAGCAACACTCCAAAGATTTGAGTCCTTAATCCGTTAAGTCTCTAACTCTCACTTTTCTAGAAGCTAAAGGGGACTCCCAAGGCCCATAAAAATGATTACTTTATGGATATGCATTCTTCATACATGTCCTCCATCCATTCTAGGTCAAAAGCGAAGAGATAACACCAAAACTCACATGCATGGATCCAATACTCAACCAAATTCTAGATTTAAACCTTATAATATCAAGGGACCCTTAGAATACATAAAGTTGCCAACTTTATGAATTCCTTTCATTCAAACTTACTCAAACATGAAGGATATGGGACAATAACTTCGATCTAGCAACATCAAGCAATAAACTTTGGATCTTGGACACTTACAAAGGTCTAGAAAGAGCACAAGATGATGATGATGATGATGAAGTTTCCTTGCTAGATCCAAAACTAGAACACCTTCCTCTTATTCTTCTCCTTCTTTAAACTACCAAATGCTCCAAAAGGCCAAGAATCACCAAGGGAACTAGGGTTAGGGTTTTTCTGAGGTAGGAGGGTGATGAAGGCTGATAATGAACCCTAAAATCGACTTAAATGGGTTTAAATACGAACGAAACCCTAAAATATCATGGGCTTGGGCTGCAGCCTCCTTCATGTCGTAACACCCTATGTCTCACGTTGTGAGGACGATTCCGAAACGCGCTTCTCACTTTTGCTTGTCACCTTGTGACCTCTCTATGGTCACGTCGTGACACCCAATTTTTCCCAAGAACCAAGCTTTTGACTTCTTAATGCTTTAAACCGAACCATTTTGAAAAATGGATGTTACATTAATATTTGATAATAAAGGAAGATGCGAATGAGATTAAGGTAAAATTCATAATCGAAGCTGCTAATCATCCTACTGACCCTGAAGCTGATGAGATTTTATCAAATCCTCCCTGATATATTTGCAAGTTCAGGAGGTGTAACTGATAGTTATTTTGAATGGGTTTAGGTAAATCTTGAAACTAAATTTTACATTTTGGTCTCTAATTATAGCCAATTTTCTATTTTTAGTACTTAATGGAAGTGCTTTGCATTTTTTTTTTCATTATTTTGATGTTTCCTAACAATTTTGATATCTAACTACTCAGTTGTTAACATTTTTAAATGACCATTTTACCCTTTGATAAAAAAGAATCCCCAAAACTGTGAGGGAGGACCAAATTTGTTATGAGAACAAAATATTTTAGTTTGCTTATATAAATCTAACAAATTAGTTGTTATCTTTTTAAATGACCATCTTTTTCATTGGACCCTTAAAAAAACAAGAGTAAATAGGGAGGACCAAATTTGTTATTTTCTCATAATTTTTAACTAAGGTTTATTATATATTTATATTATACTGTTCGGATTTGGCATTTGTGGTCCAATGGTAAAATGGTCATTTTGAAAAAATAACATCTGAATGGTGAAATTTAACGTTCATGGACTACAATATATATTGAACATCAAAATATAGACCAAAATGAATAGATTCCTTAAAACCAAAACCGCAAAAATCTCCTAAACTCATTAACCAATAACATGTCCATGCATGACAATATCGCTTTCCTCCAAGCCTTTATCCACCATATCATTACTACCCTGAAATAAATGATCCACAACGCAAAAAATAAAAAAAAAGATCACCATCTTCGCCACCCCAAATGCATCTCCCTATGTAATAGCGCATTTCAATACCACTATCTTGAATTAACGTCGAACAGCAGTCACCGAGGTGACTTGTGGTTTACCATGGGCTCACCTACTCGTTTTAGTTATTTCATGTCTCATAAAGAATAAAATATGTAAATTCAAATTAATGATATATAATATACATTTTGTCACAATACAAGAGATACTCGAATTAATTTTAAAAAATAAAAATATAGCTTTTGCACCGTATAAATTACTAAAAAAAAAAAAAAATCAAATTCTTTCGTGTTTCCACCTAGGCCGAGTGGCCGACTCTCACTTGTCGCCTATATAAATTTGATTAAAGATAAAATCAAGAGTATTTTGTTTTGTACCAGACTACCAGTTGTTAACCGACGTGTTAACAATACTGTTGATACTCCCGCGTTACGATAAGGACAAGGCGCGACGGCTCAGTCTCGTCTTCCAATCTCTTGAATCTCGCAACTCAGACATTAATTTCATCGATATTCTCCAGACCTGTTTTTCATCTTTCTCTTCTCTCAACAATTTCGTCAAACACCTGCTCTGCAACTTTCTTCCCAAGGTACTCCCATCTTTATCCATTCCCCCTTTACAGTTTTCACTATCGAATCTTTTTTTTTTTTTTTTTCTCATATATAATTTACTGTTCCCGCCATATTTACATGTACACATCTCAACCCTTTTATCCTTTGCACCATAAATTGGGTTATTTTTTTTTCTAATCTTTCGAAGGGATCAGCAGTGTCTTTCTCTTCTTTCTAACGCAGGTGAGTAACGTTATGTTTTCTTCTTTTCGTGTTGCTTTTATTCGAATCATGATTAAGAAAAATCCCCTTTCTTCTTTGATTCTTTGTGTTCAAAATCTAATGTGATTGCCTTTGTGGAAAGAAAATTGTTAATGGGTAATTATTTTGTCATGTGATCCTTCAAGCGAGCATGCTTATGTCTCTGACATGCCATGGTGATTTCTCTCACATGCTTTTGTGCTTTGATTGGGTCTGTGTGCTTCTTCTTAACTACCTTTAATCCCAATATAGGAGTACTCTGAATTTCCTCTCCTTTTTTAAGTCGACAAACACTCTACATGCGTTATAATTAATTAAATCTTCTTAGTTAAGATACCCACTATTTACCTTACCTTTTCGGATTTTCTATCATTGCAGATCTTGAATCTGTGTGGTTGAACTTGAACCCTACACAACAACACAATGGTTTGCACATCCGTATGTTAATAGAGCTCGGAATTATCTATTCTATTTAGAGAGACTGTTGTTTATCAATGCCTCCCACATATTTCCCCCTTAGATGGGAAAGCACTGGAGACCAATGGTGGTACGCATCTCCGATCGATTGGGCAGCCGCGAACGGCCACTACGACTTGGTCCGGGAGCTTCTCCGCCTAGACGGCAACCACTTAATCAAACTAACATCCCTCCGGCGCATACGCCGCCTTGAAGTCGTCTGGGACGACGAAGAACAGTTCGACGACGTTGCCAAAAACCGATGCTTGGTCGCCCGGAAGCTTTTACATGAAGGCGAATCCAAAAGAGGAAAAAGCTCCTTAATCGGAGCTGGCTATGGCGGCTGGCTTCTGTATACCGCTGCATCTGCCGGTGATTTGCATTTTGTTCAAGAATTATTACAAAAAGACCCTCTTTTGGTATTTGGAGAAGGAGAGTATGGTGTGACTGATGTATTATATGCTGCTGCGAGGAGCAAGAATAGTGAGGTTTTTTGGATCATTTATGATTTCGCGATGTCTCCACGATTGATGTCTGGTAGTGAAGAACAGATTGGGGATAATGAGATCCCAAGTGGTTACAAGCAGGAAATGAAGAACAGAGCTGTTCATGCGTTGGCGAGAGGTGGTAATTTGAAGATATTGAAGGAGGTTCTTGGTGATTGCTCCGGTGAAGATGTTTTGGGTTTTAGAGATGTTCAATGCTCAACGATTTTACACACGGCAGCTGCCAGAGGACAGATTGAGGTAAGATTCTCTTTCTTTCTTCTGTATCTTCAACTTCATTTTCGTTTTCATCTTGTGTGGTAATAATTTCAACCGATTAAAGTGAATATTGGTCGATTTAGGTTATATGTTATGGTTAATTGACTAATTGTTCCAACATATTTTTTATAAAGAAACTTATGTGTTTTGACTCGTTTTGCAATCTGCCAAATGACATACAAAAGGACTATTCTTTATTTTATTTTATTTTTTTGTCAACAAGCCATGTTATATTGTAATATTTTCTGATTGAGGGACTTGTTTTGTGGTTTTTGAAAGTATGAGGTCTAAAACAAAAAATTAAAATGCAGGTGGTCAAACATCTTATTTCGTCGTTTGACATTATCAACTCAACCGACAAACAAGGCAACACAGCACTCCATACAGCTGCTTACAGAGGCCAATTATCCGCCGTTAAAGTTCTAATCCAAGCATCTCCTTCTTCCGTTCATTCAAGAAACGACGCCGGAGAGACGTTTTTACATAAAGCGGTAACAGGTTTCCAGACACCCACTTTCCGGCGACTTGATCGTCAAATTGCTCTCATGAAACAATTAGTGTGCTCAAAAACATTCAAAATTGAAGAAACCATTAACGCTAAAGATAACGGAGGAAGAACTGCTCTTCACTTGGCCATTAACGGAAACCTACACAGTGACCTAATAGAACTGCTTATAATCGTGGGTTCACTTGATGTAAACATCCGTGACAATAATGGTATGGCCCCACTCGATCTTCTTAAACAAAGACCACAATCCGCTTCATCTGAACTACTCACCAGACAACTTATTTCCGCCGGAGCAACTCTCAGTAGCCAAGACTACACAGCAAGAAAACTCATTGCTTCCCGGTTGAAAATGGGCGGCGGTGGTGGCGGCGGCAGTGGTGGTGGTGGTGCTAGTCCGGGGAGTTCCTTCAAACTTTCTGATTCTGAAATGTTCTTGTACACCGGAATGGAAAGTACATCCTCCACTGCTTTCGGTACTCCGGTGTTCAGCATGCGATCTGGAGAGCTGAGTCAACTCGATTCGAGTTCAAATAATTCGAACTCGAATGTGGAATCCAAGAAGAAGAAACAGAAGGGGATTCAGCGATTCCTGAGGTGGATTAGAAAGAGGAATGGAAACGGAGGTTTGGTTTTGACTAAAAATGTGAAGGAAATTCCGGTTCCATTGAGACAACAATACTCGACTTCATTGTTAAACAACAAGAGAACACTTGCTGCAAGGAGTAATCTTCCAAGTCCAACTGTTAAAAAGAAGCTTGCTTCTGGTTTTGTTAATGGAGTTATGCAGGCGATGCCACATTTGAATCGAGGAGGGTCGAGATCAAATTCGTTCTCAAAATCATCATTATCTTCCTCACAGAATTCGTTGGATAATAAAGGTGTAGGAATTGATGTTCTGGGTTCATCGAGTTTGAATCAGATGTTTGATGATGAAGAACAAGGGGTGGTGAATAGCATTAGGAGGTCAACGGTGAACCAGTGTTTCTGTTTTGGTGCACATGAGAGACTTGTGGAAGGCCCTGGTGATGATAAACAGCAGCATGAGAGTTACAGCCGTTGTGTTGTATCGACAGGTTAAACGTGTAGCAAGTTGTAGTCTTTTGAATCTTGGATTGTTTGATCTAAATATGATATGTGATGTTAGTTTGAAAATTGAGATCTTATCATCTTTACAAGGCTAATCATCAGCGTATGAAATGCAAATAAGCGTGTTATTAGATGTTAAATTACGGTAGTCTTTTAAAGCAAGATTGTCAAAATCGGTTTCTTTAAAAAGATCGGGATCTTAAGTTCGTTTTATATTTTTCAAGATCGGAATCGGAATCTCAAAATGAATTGGTCTTCAAATTTGTTTGCAAGGTCATGTTTTTGTACTACCCACGACATTGCTTAAGGCATCAATTGTAGAATTAATTTTAACTTCTTAAGCGTGAATTGCAGTTTTTATTTGTACAAATCATACAAATTAGAAAGAAAACATTTTAAAAAGAAAAACTAAAGGTATAAGATCACAACGGAATATCAAGAGTGTCATTAATTTGAGATAAACTAATAAAGTTTTGATGCTTTATGAGAAATATTGTAGTATGTGACTTGATTTCAGATTTCTAGTTGAATAAAAGATTTTTTGAGCTCAACTTATTAAAAACTAAAGAGGATGGATCGGATCAAGTTAAGATCTTAAAATTATATTTTTGTTGGATTCTGATTGGATTGTTTTCGTTCGTAAAATCTTAAGATCAAGATCTCCCTATTTTAATAAAAGAATAATTTTATTCTTATTTTGACATGTGTCATCTTATTAGAGTTCTTAATTAATGCATATTTTATTCTCATTTTGATATGTGTCATCTTATTAGAGTTTTTAATTAATGCATATTTTATGTCACTTTTTTATGTCACCTAATTAATGCATGCTGTTTGTCAATCTATTGATTATTAATTTCAAATTTCATATTTCTCCCTTTAATTACATTAAATTAATAACATTAGAATAAAAATTAAAATAAAATTTTTACAAATTATGAAGTGATATAATTTCACATATTTATTTAAATCAATGATTATAATTTTATATAACTAAAAAATCTCTTAATTAATAATTTATTTAAAATAATTGATTAATAATTTTGAGTTTTTATTATAAAAGTTTAATTAATTTTGTAACTGTGATTTCCACGGGTTATAAACTAGTTTAAAATACAATAAGATATTCACAGTTGTTCCGTGATTTTATTTTTCATTGATACGAAGCATACCAAAGTATGTCGGGTATAGTTCTTGCGTTTAAATTCTACAAAACGAATGGCTTTTGTTTCTAGAAACCAAAGGTAAACAACCCGGCATACATAAGTCATAAGTGCAATGTTGGTTTAATTTATTAGTTTTACTTAGGTGCAATATTGGTTTGTTAATATGAATACATAGAAATAAAAACGTTTCTTTTATATATTTTATGACATATTCATAAAATGAATATATAAAAAATAATTTATAAAATTATGAAATATAAAAAACACACATAAAAGCAAAATGTAACGAAGTTGTAAAAGACAATTGTATACAAATATTTGTAAAAATGAATTCTTAAAAAATAAAATTGTAAAAGAACATATTTAGAAAAATTAAATTAAAAAAAACATATAAAAAAAGGTTGAAAAAAGAAGTTGAGCAAAAATTGGTATTTTTTTGGACCAAATTATATAAAATTAAATTTTAGATCAAAATTATCAAAAAAGAAAAATATTAAGGAAGTCAAAACACTATCCATTAGGCTATAGACATTATTTTGATTCACGAGTCTAATTCCAAACACTATATAAAATTAATGAATTAAAATTGTTAGCTTTTTCTTAGTTTTTTAATATAATTTCTTCGTTTCAAAAATAAAAATAATTATTAATATTTTAATAAAATTTTTTTGCACGAGTTATCAATTGTAATTTGTTCAATTACTGGTCTTTCAATATAATTTTGTCGTTCAAAAAAAAAATTATTAACATTTTAATAAAATTATTTTGCATAAGTTATCAATTGTAATTTGTTCAATTATTAAAAATTGGCTTTTGGTATGGTATACCTTAGACAAAAATCAAAATTTCCAGTTAAAAACTAATACTAACATAATATCATATGTGTTTTGTAAACTAGTTTGAAGTTAAAAACTAGAAATTGTAATTTTTATTTGTGTAGAAGTGTTCGGCAAATTCGCTTTTAAATGTGTAAAATTATATAAAAACCAAAAGTTAAAAATACCGAAAAGTTAAAAAGTTCCGAAAAACTCCTTAAAGTAGTTTATAAATTGAAAGTTTTTTGTTTAAAATAAAAACTAAAGGCTTATTCTGTCGAACATAACTTTTTTTTCGAGTTTTTTTTTAAAAGTTAAAAGTTAAAAGCTCTCAAAATCTCTTGTTCTGAACACCCCATAACCTTTGAATTTGTATTGGATTAATGTTTGTCACCTTTTGAATAGTTTTTCCTTCAAGGCATGGATAAATTGACGAACAAGTAACTTTTGATTGAAAAGTATAGAAAAAATACATTATTATTATAGAAATCTTTAGTTTACAAATCTTGTCAATTAAAGGAATACTTAGTATCCAGTTGAAAAAACGTTAGCAATGGGAGATACGACTATAAATAAAAAATGGGGCGAATAGCTAAAACAGTGATTTAAGACATTCAACTTACGTCTCTAATATGTATGGGCTGTGTTTTTAAAGGGTAAGGAAGTCCATAATAACTTTGATGTTTGTCCATTAACGAAATTAGAGCTTGAAAGACGTTTGTGAATTGTGATCTATATTAAATATGGATTGACTACTGGTTCGGTTTCGTGTCGTGACTCATTACATCAATGACATGGATGTAGCCTATAGGTAAGCATGACCATGAAATAGTTATATAAAAGAGTTGTATATAACTAATAATATTTAATTTGGCAAATCAAACATAAAATAAACATAATAATTAGTCAATTATCATTTTACGAAATATGTTGAGGAGTTTGATGTAATCGAATAAGTAACTGCCAAATAAAAACTCATCACTAATTTTGTTTTTTTTTTTAAAAAAAAAAAAGACAAAATTGTAAAAATGATGTCTATGGTATGCATTTTTTTTGGGTTTTCGTCCAAACCTTGATATTTTTGGCTTCATAGTCATTTTGGCCATGTTTCTATGTGGAAATAGTCTCCGTTAAACTTAAAATTACTAATATGTCCTTTTAATATGTTTTCTCATTTTCTTAAACATTTTATCATTTATTTTAATATTAATGTAATAAAAAATAAAGTGGGGCCAACCCCACCTCTCTCTCTCTCTCTCTCTCTCTCTCGTTAAATATGCTCAAGATCTCACTGGTACACCCATTTCGAAATTCAACGTTGAGGTCGTCGGATTAAGCTTCGATGGTCGGATATTCTTCGGTGGCAACATCGAGTTCACTGGTATTCCCTTCCACCATTCCATCAACGTTGAACAGTTCCTTATCACCAATCTTGTTGCGCATGGCGACGGTCCTAAACTACTGAATATAGTCGTGCATGCCGCTCCTTGTGGCCATTGTCGTCAGTTCCTCCAGGAACTCCAGGGAGTTTCCAAAACTCAGATTGTAGTCACATATCAACCTTTAGAAAACCCCGATTACAAACCTCTAGAAAACCCTGATTACAAACCGACGATATATGCATCTTAACACCGCTGGGCTCTATGGAGAGATAGAGAGAATTATTGTCACACCCCCAAACCAAGGATGACATAAACGTCCGGAGGTGGAGGACTTCATGTATAGTATCACAACAACGAGTATAATAGTGCTCAAAGTAATTACAACCATCATAAATATAATTGAAAAAGTTATACCATAGTATGTTTTTACATGTTTCAAATCAATTACACTATGATGACAAAATGAAATGTTTGACGATTTAACGTCCCATCCTCAAAAGCGGTTGATTTCCTGTTTCACTGAATTCCTGAGAATACAAGAAGTTTGAAAAAGTGTCAATGTAACAACCCAATTTTCACGTCCAAATATTTCTTTTTAACATCAATACTTTGGAAAACATTTGTAAATAAAACATCGTTTGATCAAATCATTTCCCAATCATATATCGTGTTTGAAAACCAAATTATGAAATCAACCAAATGTCAGAGTACAAATCCCAGAACAATCTTGTAAGGTGGAAAACAGTGGATGTGTATGATGTGCCGCTACCGCGCCAACTCTTTCCCCTTCGATGAAGAGGTACCTGAAACCAAAACTGAAAACTGTAAGCACAAAGTTTAGTGAGTTCCCCCATCGTACCACATACCACAAAATCACACAACATACATATATTGTCAGGTATATCTGGGTGCCCGACCTACCCCTTCGGTCCTCTCGACCGGATACTGGCTAACATATCTGGGTGCTGGCCTCCCCTTCAGTCCTGTCGACCGGATACTGACTAGCATATCGGGGTGCTGGTCTCCCCTTCGGTCCTCTCGACCAGATACTGGGGACTATTTCACCCCTTACTACTACCACATAACACATATCACATAATCTATCTAGCATGGCTGGGCATGACTACCCCTTCGGCCCTATCGACCGGTAATCTGGGGACTATCTCCCCTACTGTCACTAGCACATAGCATCATATCATACTAGCACATAACATATCAGGTAGTAGCAAACCTAGATGAATATCACAGAGACAATCATCTAATCATACAACTCCTACTGATGGGCCGGCATTGTGGCCGTAGACCCACCGCTACTGGAAGGTAACTCACCTCGAAGTAGCTGCTGATCTGCGCGAGAACTGACTATCAGCTGTTGCTGCTCCGGAAATCCTCCGGCTGTAATTCCCACCAAACACTCAACCAAACACTGCTAACTGTCCTTAGGGTAAAATGACCATCTTACCCCCGACCAAGTCAAAGTCAAGCCAAAGTCAAACTTCCAGTTGACCCGACTCGCCGAGTTGGCTCGCCAACTCGTCGAGTCCCTATCCAGTCGATTGTCCTCACTCCCGTCCCTACTCGTCGAGTTAGGCATTGACTCGACGAGTTCTCCTTCTATACAGATATCCAATGGTCCTTCATCCGACTCGCCGAGTTTTATGAACAACTCGTCGAGTTCATCTTCATCCGATGAACACCCTGGTCTGTGACTCGCCGAGTTGTATGAACAACTCGTCGAGTCTGATCTTGAGGCAAGAAGATTG